TAGAATAGGTCATGCTACCTCAGGGAATTATGTTAGTTCAAGCATGATCAAACATGATATTTGAGGTTTATAAGAATACAGCTAACTTTAGAAATTTCATTGTTCCCACTTTCTACTAATTGCAGTTTTGGCTTTAGTACAATTACAGTTTGTATTTGGGTTTCATTTTAGAAGCTTTATTGCTGATGATCAGCTTTATATATTAGGATTAGGAATTAGAAACTTTTATAGAAATTAAGATAGATACATAGGATTTTAGAATAGCCATTTTGTTAAGAGATTATAATCAACTGTTCTTGGAAACAGCCCAGCATGATCTATGGACTGGGCCACATTCTTTAGGAACTGCTTTGAGCTATAATTAAGAGTTTTTTATAGTACAGGTAAAATTAGCACAGAATAGAAAGGTATTAGGATTTAAGTCAGTCATTAGGTATTGGGAATGCAAAAGTTTTAGAAGTTATTGATTATTAGAATATTATGATGTTAGAATTGTTGTATTGTTTGTGAGGAACATAAACCAAGCATAAGGAACATTAACCAAGCATAAGGAACAGTGAAATAATATTGGGATTGTCCTTCCTCATGCTTGAGGAAACACCTGGTGGGTGGGGGGACGCCCCTCATCCACCTGGCTTTGTGTTCACGTGAAAATCTTGTGAAACTTTAGGATAAAAGGCTTACAGTTTGCCCCATTAAATCGGCTTCTACACTAGACAGAATCCAGTCTCTTTCTTTCTCCCCCCTTTTCTTTCTTTCTCTTTATTTCTCCAGAATAATCACCGACACTGCCACACCTACCAGGGACCCCCTAAATCTCTCTGCAGGGGCTGGCCCCCCGCAATTAATGATGGAAAGAAAAGTGAAAACAATTCAGAGTGGAGCGAGGCAAAAAGATGGTAGATGTTGCTCATTCCTATAACATGAATTATTCAACCACTGGCAAGATTCTAAAGAACAAGGACAAGGGCATAGAACACAGGAAGTCTGCTGTGCTGATGATGTCAGCAATAATATCGAAGAAGCATGAAAGAGTGATGGAGAGATGGAGAACCTTCTCAGTGTGTGGATGCAGGATCAGTATCAGCACTGAGTCCCATTCAGCTTAATGCTGAACTCCTTTATGAAGACTTGAAGAAGAAACACAGTGAAGAATCAGAGAGTGCATCTTTTAATGTCAGTCATGATTAGGTGCATCAGTTCAAGGTTAGAGACAACCTTCACAATGTAAAAGTAAGTGGCAAAGCAACAAGAGCAGATATGGTATCTGCCTGGGAATTTACTGAAATGCTTTGAGAAATTATTAATGAAGGTGCATATTTATCCGAGCAAGTTTTTATTGTGGATGAAACAAGACTGTATTGGAAGAGGATACCAGACTGAAGTTACATCAGTAAGGAGGAAAAGTTGATACCAGGATATAGCAGCAAAGGATAGGCTAACTCTGCTGTTTGGTGGCAATGTTTCTGGTGATATGATGCTGAAGCCTCTCTTAGCTTACTATCCAGAGATCCCAAAAGCCCTTAAAACATAGCCAAGTGCTCTCTTCCTGTTGTGTGGGAGAGTAATCCCAAAGCTTGGGTTACACAGGCCATTTTCCAGGACTGTTTTTTCCACCACCTTATCCTGAAAGCAGAGAAATACTGCTTGGAGAAGGACATCACATTCAACATTCTTTTGCTGCTCAACAGTGCTCCAGGACACTCCACACTCATGGACAACTTTCATCCCAATATCAAAGTAGTACATCTGCTACCGAATACTATGTTGCTCATCCAACCCATGGACCAGGGAGCTATAGCGACTTTCAGGAAATATTATTTATATCACACGTTTCATCAGGCGGTAAAGGTAAGGGATGAACTAGGAACAACCTTGTGACAATTTTGGAAGGACTATAACATTTACAAGGCCATAAAAAACACTGACTTTTCTTGGTATGAGGTTAGAGCTATTACCACAAATGGGGTTTGGAAGAATCTTTGTTTGCAGTTTGCTCACAACTTTCATGGACTTG